ATCACCAACGACGGTAATGTTACGCTTGGTTTGACAAACTACAAAATGTTTCAATTATTTCTAGGAAGTACATGGCCCGACCGCAATTTACGCGAAACACAGGCCTGCCTTAAGCAGTCTGATAACAATATTATGACAGTCAATCACGACGGGTAAGCCACGACAATATACCGCGTATCATTACGACCTCGCGAAAGCCTCTCCTACTCCAGTCAATAGACTTGCCCGGATTTGACATTCGTATAAAAAGATTGTGTCCTTGATTTGGCAGCTTTATCAAAGCGAGGAAATAATTGTCTACACAGTGGTTCTGGACTTGTATGAATAGCCCAATGACAAGCCGTGAATGACACAAGTTGATCGCTACCTGGTACAAAGCAAATCTGACCGTATAAACCTAACGGGCAAATTACAGGATTCTGAGGGATATTTACTGCGTAGAGAATTACTTCAGCTGTAAACGGCATCAAGGACAAATGTCAAAATCCATGTTGCATTCCCTTTAAATTCAGTCATGCATCACTTTTATTACTTTCTAAAGATTATAATTTTTTTAACTTTACCTTTTTTTCATGTACTTTTTTTTCAAACATCATCACTTGATTTTTTATTTTTTTTAAAAAGTTAGACTGCAACTTATTTTAATAGTTTACAAAAATGTTTTACTAAGAAAATCTACACAATTTTTTTGTTAAATTCTGTTACTCAAGCTCCGATGATTATAACCAGCCTCCAATATTAAACCAACCCCTATCTAGATTCCAAATTTTCAGCTTAGTACAACAAAATTGAAAATATTAATGATATCAAGATTGCATCACCATAATTGATAATTAGATTTTCTAGTGCGTGAATCAAGGTTTCTGTATCCAGGCCATTCTGTGAGGATCCCGCAGAGGCATCTGCGGAGTCCGTATACAGAGTCTGACCTACACACACTCCCGAATTTTTTTAAAGGAAAATGACTGTAACATCTCAAAAGATAAAAACAGCACATGCCCCTGATAAAGTTTAAATTTAATTATATTTCACTTAAATCAAATTGGCAGTCTGCTACAGGAACTCCTAACAGACCCTCTAACTTGAAATATATTTCAAAATAGACAAACCTTGAAATACACGTCTCCTCTTAAAAATAATATGATGCTTGTTGAAACATTTTTTTGTATAACTGTTGAGGTGTACATTTCAGAATACTTTTTTTTTTTCATACCCCTGTCAGCTATAGAGCCATTCTGCTAAATCCGAAATACAGATTTTTGTCGGAATACCAGAAAACCGATTGCCACCTCTTTTTTGTAATCGAGACATACAGTTCAAAATAGTTTTCTCCAGAATAAACATGTCAGATGGAATGGTTCCTATAAACCAGATCTTTGCCGTTTTTTCGCCCAGTACAAGCGCGAGTGCCACCTCTTTCTTGTCCAAAGCGAATTGTTTATAACAGAGAACACAAAACTATAAACTCCACGATGTAGTGTTTACATTCTAGCTGTTCAGATGTTGGCTGAAATGTGCGTATTTATTTGTGAAGTATGCGGCCATTTAGTGTTTTATTGGAGCATATCCAAAGCTAGACTGGCAGCTTGTGGACGATCTGATCATTTAAATGTCATTCCATCTGGAAACTCAGGAACTCGGTTTTACCAGTTTCTCAGAGAGAGCAATTCCCAACGACTATAAATGTTTACCTGTGACAGATTCCGTATAAAGCGTACCGAGTACCGACAAAGCAGCGTAGGCGCAATCACCTCCAGACCACTTACACACAAAGTGTCTTGCGTTATAAAATTTTCCATCTTAAATTACAAACTGACGCAAACAAAATTCTGAAACAAATCAATCTACCAGGCCTCTGAACACAAACGTCCTTCATTGTAAAATTTAGAGTTTTACATTATAATTAAACTGATGCGAAGAAAATTCTGAAAAATGGGCAATTAAGAAAAAAGAAAGAAACTCAAAACAGTAGTCAATACAGGGACCAAGGTTGTCTGCCACCCATTAAAATCATTTATTTCTGTCATTCATTATCACGTAATATAAAAAGAAAATTGCATCATTTTTGCATCATAATTGCCCAATTAATATCTGCAGTTGTTTTTTGCAGAGGAACCGGGATTAATACAAGGTGTTACAATAATTCCTCTGTGGCCTTGCTGAACAGACATTTAATTTCCAATTCACGGTTTCCCCACAAACATCTGAGAAATGTTTTGGCCAGGGCTGGTGTTGTTACCTCACAGATCTTTGTTTTTTTAACGTAGCCCTCCTCATTAACACAATTTGCCAGCCACATACGCTCGGGAATTGGGAAACGTAGAAAACTCTGAACCAGGCGAGAAGGCTAACAATTACTCTGGTGGGGATAACATCCGAAAGGCAAGTACATCATTCAAAATCTCGACGACAACAACGCAGAGTACATAACAATCTCTCCTGTCGCACAGGAGAGCTACATTTCAAAGACCTCTTAACTACCCGCAGCGAATGTAAACACACAGGAAACCAATAAATATGTGTAGCGGTTGATTATTAACGAAGCTGACCGAAAAAAACCCAGAATCTAATGAAAAATAGCAACTAATGACAGTTCTGTAACCTTCATAAAGATCAATTGGTGTAATACAGTATGTAGGTAATTTCACTCAGAACTGTTCGATGGATAAATAAAAAATCTAAATCTAATTTTCTAATCATGTAACTGCATAAAACACAATAATTGTGTTTAACAGGATTTAATTCTTGCAAATTTTTAATTAAACTTTGTTAAAAAGAATTAGATTTTTTTCTTTAAATACCCTGAGGTTTAAATCTAAAACTCGCTGTAAACATTCTATGGTTGAAGCCATATGCATCTAAAACCCACTGTAAACAGTCTAGGGTATAGACTATTGAACGGCACTTCAGAGACTGCGGGATATATTGATATGAAATATGTATTTTCCCAGTAGAATATGGATCAGACCGGCATATCATATTATAATGTTCTGGATGTGGGAAATTGGGATCTCTTGCCGGAGAACCAATCCTACGAGTCTGAATCCCAGACGTTTTAATTCCTTGAAAGATCACATTGCATCAACATGAAAAAGAGACGTACGCAAACTTCCATTTTGATGTGCAGACTTGCAGGGTATTTCTAATCAACCTCATAGCATTTTTTTTTTTTTTTTTCGTCTCTAAGAAAAACAAAACCTGCATTCATATAAACATCATCTCCGGAGCCTCCTACGAAAAAATGAAAAGTTGTCCTACTTGATTAAGTTGTGTGCGTAAGTTGAACCACTTAAACCTAGACATGTTAACTCATTCACCCCTATATTTATAAACTGGACTTGTCCAGTCTTAGATTTGGTAAGGTTCAAATTTGACTTAAGGGGGGTGGAAGGGCTTACTTTGTCAAAAGGTCAGGAACCACTACTCTACAAAAAGATTCAGAAACGCTTACTTCTAAAATAGTATTGCCCCTTCAGAGTATGCAGGTTTCTTATAGAAATCCAGTTTCAGTTTATCAAAGACCAGGTTACTAAACTTCTTCCATACAAACATGTCGTAGATATATTGACTGTAGATTATTTTTTTAATTTGAGAAAACAAAAATGTACATATTCACTAATGCATTTCATTGTAACCTCAAGTGGTAAAATGCTTTTTGATGCTGCCACGATTATGTCCCTCGATTCAGATTAAGTGTTACTGTATTCCACACAGAGCATGCTCAGAGTGATGTTTTAATCTCGCCCGTTCTCTGTTGGTCCCCAAGGGTTATCCTACACCCTTGATCACAAACTGTAGCGCTTTCATGGACGTATCAAATATTGATACACAATGAGATATATACCTACACACTCGACCCACACACACAACGCATTAAACTTTAAAACTATCGTAAGCAAACCTGTAAGCTGGCAATAAAACAATTCCCATAATTTATATTTTAATAATCTGAAATATTTTATTTAACATGTTTACTGAAATATAATTATCTAATTCTAATCAAAGCTTATAAACAATCCATGAACCTTTGACCGTTTGGAATGACTGACCCCTCCCCCTATCCCATTCCCACATACTGTTCACAAATGTCTTTTATGTCCAGTGGTAATAGAGGTCCACTTTCCCCTGACCAGACTAGCCTTGACCTACTGAGCACTTTTTGCTGCAGGTCTTATTAACCAAGAATCTCTCCTCTGACCGGGATAAAAGGACAGTGCCCTTCAGCAGTGTCAATAATGAACAGCTTTATTGATATTAACCTACATCATCCATTCCGTCAGTATACTGGGATAAAATGAAGAGAATCTTATTTTCACTGACACAAACCTACATCAAAGAAGATACCTATACTTCCATTGACACAAATTTTAATTCTGAATGTCAGAACACTGACCAACATTTCTGACCAGTGGCTTTTATGATACTGTCCACTATCGCTGACCATTTAGGATATGTCCGGAATCTTCTCTGTCCATTATGGTAAGTATCAAGTCCTAGTTCTACTGACCAGTATGGATACATTCTCTTGGGTCAAACTGACCATTACAAATAGAGTGTCCAGAGTCCCTGTGTCCACTCTGGTTTCTGTGTTCAGTCATGCTGACCATTATAAAGTGACCTGAATTCCTCTGCCCACTCTGGATCCTGTGTTCAATCCTACTGACCATTTCTAATACAATGTCCCTGTGTCCACTGACCATTATAAAGCGACCTGAATTCCTCTGTCCACTACCATATATACATCCCGCTCACCACTGGTACAGCACTACCATAGGTTGTGTGTGACTTATTACTTATATTTATAGTGTAGTGCCCAATCATGCTGACCACTAAGCATAAATATGTCCTGGTCTAACTGACCACAATTAATGTAAACAGTGTTTATAGTATCCCTTTCTACCCATGACAGAGCTGACACGGACCTGTAATATACATAACACATAATACGTGGTATCCTGCTGTGTTATATACAGTGTGTAAATATTACAGAAAGTACTCACCCGTACAGCTGGAGCAGCAGGGCCTGGACCACCATCTACATGTAAATGTCCACGGGTGACCAGTATAACATACAATCACATCCTCTGGGAACACACACTGGTTAAAATCCACTGGTATATATATATTATTTCACAGTCCTGGGTCCTGCTGCAGATTTCGTCAGTTTCTGTAGGGAGGAGAAGAGAGAGCACATTATCATCCGTACCTATAAACACACAGCACAATCTTCCATTCATACCGCTACAGTGTTACTGACACACACTGCCTGTAACGTGCTACTAGCACAGTCAGCATCCAGTCACAGACAGACCAATCATAGAGGCAACAGCCCAGTATGACCTCCGACCTCCAGGTTTGATCGACACACAGCCACCGAAACTACCACTTTCAATTTCACATCAGGTTTTGGGGTCCCCGCATCATTTCATAATTGGGGATTTTCAGTGATATTGGGTTATGGTGTGGTCAGAAGGCCTGCCAGTGGTGTCACATAGAGAGCTGTGTGGTAGCTTCTGCTGCTGTGACTGAGGCTGTGATAACCCAGTCAGAGTGCTTTTGGTGTATTTGATATGCCAGTAAGATTTTAAACAACAGAGACAAGTGGAAGAGCAAATACACGACCACAGATGTACTTATATTGGTAAACAATGCTACAGACATATCACACAGTACAGTTAGTACAGAGTCGGAGGCTGGATGTGGTCGTTACGGAGAGACGGAGAGACGGAGAGAGATGACAGGGGGATTCAGAGAGAAGGGGAGGGTAAAAGGGGTAACAGGGGTAACAGTGATATAGATGGGACAGAGAACAAATTGTCAATGTAGAATCAGCATGGGGTTGAGAAAGGACAGAAACAAAGACAGGAGAAAGTAAATAGGTCAAAGGAAGGATACAGGGGAAAGGGGGGCTACAGTGGTATGAGAGGAAGGATAGAAATAAGGTGGAACAGGGGTATGAGGGCGATGGGAAACAAATGTATCTTTGAGAGAGACACAAGTTATATAGGGTAAAGCATTAGGAGACATCGTCAGTTCTCTAACATCTGAAGAATACTTGGTTTTTGGAACCATCTTTTCATTAAATATGTGTTTTATAATACCACAACCAAGTCGTAAAGGTTTCAAAAACACACAGATGTACATGTTGCCCATTATATATATATCCAAGAGGAAAACACCTTAACATCAATATAGATAGCAAACTATATCATTCCTCAGCATCTCCCTAAACATCCTCAGATACTGCCCCAGATACACAGGTGTGAACTGACCTATATCTGATCAAAGTAATCATAACATTGACTTCCTCTCACAACAAACTATCTTTACTGATGCAACAACAAATAGCTCCTCAGTGTGACTGGGAGGGGGAGGGGAGGGGTGGGCGGCCTCAACACCACACAGACTCACATGGTGGCTTGGAGTGGAAGTGGGGGATGCAATAACAGACCCACTGTGTAGCTGGAAGATGAAGAGAGGACATGATCAGCTTCAGCACTGTTCTCCCCTGTTCCACTGGGCCCAGAGAGATCCCTTCAACATCCCACTGGGCCCTGATCTCAATCACATCACACCTACCCCTCACACGGGGAGCTAACCCTCAGGGAGACCTACACAAACAGGGGCCAGAGAGACATACCTCTAATGCTGTTATAGAAAGGTCCCCAGAGGTCCCACCATATCACTATTAGAGAGATGAGTACAACCTGCTATTAAAACGGTCATCAATCAAATTATAGCTCCTCGTAAATAGGTAACACCGTAGAGTGATTTTAACACCCATCCATCACCGACTGGTGTAATTGTATCAACACCTTTGTTACATAAGTCTATATAATACAACTGTGTGTCAGCTGATATCCCGACATGTACAGGACCACCAGACCTCTCTGGCTGTGCTAGTTTGATTTTACTTTTTGAAATTAAATTTTGAGGAAAAAGATTTATTCCCTACAAGTATTGGACCACCAGACCTCTCTGGTCATGCCATTATATAAGTTTGAGGAAAAACATTTATTAACTCATCCACCCCTACATACTTAATCTGGACTTGCCCAGTTTTTGATTTGGTAAGGTTCAAATGTGACTTTAGGGGTGAAGTAATTTCCTTTTTTTTTTTTTAATTTAAGTTTGAGGAAAAACATTTATTCCCTACAAGTATTGGACCACCAGACCTCTCTGGCTGTGCTATATACCATGATTTTACTTTTTGAAATTAAAGTTTGAGGAAAAACATTTATCAACTCATCCACCCCTACATGCTTAATCTGGACTTGCCCAGTTTTTGATTTGGTAAGGTTCAAATGTGACTTTAGGGGTGAATGGGTTAAGAACATCAGACATCCTGGATTTCCTTGATGTCATTAAACTGAGAAGACCCAGTTGTAGGAAACTGTTATGTCTGTTTCCCTACAATGACTCAATTTCTTTTTTATCTTTTCTGTTTTGTCAGCAAACATGTTGTGTCTAAAACACAATATACATGTGCCAGAAGAGGAAAACCTTGGCAATGTCTGCTTCAGATGTAAACTCATAACCCCAACTACAGTTAGCCTGCTAAACTATACCTATAACTGGATGTTGTGATTATGAAATCGCAAAAAAAAAAGAAAGAAAAAAAAAGATCTGAAACAATTTCTTATGTCAAGTTTAATGAACGATCTTAAACTTGCAAAAGAAATCAACAAATCATAAGCTAGGAACAGTTTACACTTTGTCAACCATCAATCTACAAGTTTAGCTTCATCAAGAATGAAAGGACTTTAGTATTACCGCTTTAGTTATATAAGTGGGTGGAGGACTCTGTAGCAACTGTCACGGCCGGCGTCTGAAGGGGAACTCCACAGTGATTGGGAGGGGGCAAATTTACTGTTGCAGCTGTCAGCTAGAAATACACAAGAAAGGGGAATACATTATATTTTTACTTGTAATGACATAGCAGCTGTCCTGTCAACTCTCTCTCTCAAGATATCCCCCACACCCGTAACTTTTCCTCTGTGCCAGGGAGACAAGACATATACTCTATATATATTGTGTCACACTCTGTGTCAGAATCTCCTCGTAAACAAAGTTAAAAAACATCTGTAAAGAAATGCAGAATTCTTCTTCAGAGTGCCGTTAATTACCGACGCGTCTCAACATCGACGACGAAAAAACAGCAGCATATCTCTGACTAGCCTTCTTACGATTGTTGACAGCCACGTCATAATAACGTTCCACAAGTGTGGGGAAAGTATTACGCACCCTGTATGTCACCAAAGTATATAGGACCCGTCACTCCACAACTCAATAACACCAGTTTGAAAAATAATAATACGAGAAAATTTTGACAATTATTATAACATCCAATGTTATGAATCTTAGTACCAGAGAACTGTTTTACATCAGAACATGTTTGTAAGAGATTCTCTGTATTGAAAAATCTGAATCTGACATCTGGAGAATTTTGAAGTGATAAAGCATTACATATCAGATACGCAGGTAAAGTATCTTGTATGGCGACATGTCATTAATTAACTCATTCACCCCTGAAATTTTATAATGAACTATTCCAACCTTTGAATTGGAAGAGTTCAAATGTGTCTTCGGGGGTGAATGAGTTAAAGAATACTAGAGAAAAAGACTAAATCTAAAGTAACCCATTTCAATATAATGATTCCCAAGCACTTCACTGATCATGATCATTCACAAACAGGTGGGTAGGCACATTAAACCAGCGACAATCTTCACAATTTGCACAAATTCGGTAGAACCCAAGCTTGGCAGTGCCACGCACAAATCACGTTTTTTTTTTGTGTGTGCTGATTTTTTATCTTGTTTTCTGAATCATCTTTTTCTTTCCAATGTGTCAACAAATTAATTCTGATGAAATCGAGGTTCTTTCAAGAGCAGACATGCAATGTTATTTGATCTTTAGAAAATGTTCAAATTGTCGGCTAATGGTATTAGACATTGCATATCTCACGGTCGTCGGAACTCTTAGCGTGTGTGGCACAACACAACAGAGATCTGGACGGACTTGCCGAGAACATTTCACCCCGCATTCCATATACAGAGCTCTCTCCCTGTAAAACGTTGCCAATATCACTGAGACCAGTTCTATCTACACCTGTCACCCGATAATGGTCAAGCGTCTATACTGACCAGTACAGAATTGGTTCAGTGTCCACTTCATAACCCAGACGCATAAACCACAACCGTATATGTCTGGTGCCCAAATGATGAAATGTCATTCAGTGCAGGACCATTTTTTCGTTTCCTTTCGTAGCGAAGTGAACAATGTGTATTATCACTGGCCCCGCTGTTAATATGATACATATTTCTTAAGATGTTTTGCGATCGTGACAGGGCTCACGTTGGATGATGTATCCCACACCACATCTGGCCTGTGAAGCTTGGCCATTTAGCCAGGAGAGTTCCACTGATGTGCAGACAAAAGGTAATACAAGATATAGTCCATTATCACACGTCAGCATTGCCTACCAAGAGAAATGACAGAACGTCTTCCTCAGATCGCGTATGTAGCAGTATGGTCAACTTTACAATGTGCGATTATTTCGACTGACATATCGTGAATATGTACCAATTCTGTTATGTTTTAATCATAAATGTTTTGGAGACTTTAATATAAAAATTTAAAAAAATTGACATTTCACAAAGACAATTTTATATCTCACAAAATGTGTTTTTCAGAATGTTTTGATCGGAAAAACAAGGAAGCTTTTGAAAACAATGGATGTATATATATTGACCAGACTGAGGCCGCTGGGTCTGAAGAAAGGTGAAAATGATACACTTCAGTAGCAAATAGTTATCCAGTACTTTCCCTGTGTTTTTAATCTCAGAACGGAGCCGGAATTCACAAAGGCATAACAACACATCTCTAGTGGCTGGCAAAACATTGAAGAATTGTGCGATACAATTACATGGCCGAGTTCCGATGCTGTTGTAGCGGCACCCTCCTCATGGGACTAAACGGACACACCATTTCCACAACGAGACACAATAATAGGGGCTAACTGTACAAATTGATATATATGGGGGCTTGGTGATACACAATGAGGAAATAATGGAATGTAACCGTCTGCCCTCGCCCTTTTGAAGGTCTGTATAAACTGGAGCAGCGCCGGGGTGCCCAGGGATGGAGGAAGAACAAAGTCCTACGTCACAAGTTATGTAGTTTTACGATATCTATCTCGTAAGTCAGTACCTAACTGTAAGGGACAGTTCCCAGTAATAGAAACGTCTCTCCCATTCCTTTACAGACAAATGCTGTCTTCTGATGAATCTCTACAGCTTTGCAGTTATAATATATTGGATTTTTTCCAGACATTTCCACAAAGAAAAAAATTGGAGAATTTTCTGGAGTTGCTGATTGGACAGTTAGATGGATCGTCTGTCACATGACAAACATGTGATTCAGTGTTCCTCCGTCTCCCTTCGGTATCGTATTGCAGGAAGTGTCATAAAAACGGAAGTCTACACTAGTAATGCCGTCACTTCCTAGACAAACAGTTCACATAAAAAACATGTTAAATGAGTTGAGATAGAAAAAAGATTTATTTGAAGTATAGCTTCCTTAAATTGTATTAATAAAAAAAAAAAATCTTCTGATAAAGCAAATATCATTGAAAAATTATATCATATTTTGATCTAAAATGGACAGCTATGCCTAGCTACACAGGTTTGAGACTGAGAGTAAAATGGACAGCTATGTCCTGTAGCTATACCGGTTTGAGTCTGGGAGTAAAATGGACAGCTATTTCGTGTAGCTATACAGGTTTGAGTCTGGTAGTAAAATGGACAGCTATATATCCTGTAGCTATACAGGTTTGAGTCTGAGAGTAGAATAGACAGCAATGTCCTGTAGCTATACAGGTTTGAGTCTGATAGTAAAATGGACAGCTATGTCCTGTAGCTATACAGGTTTGAGTCTGAGAGTAGAATAGACAGCTATGTCCTGTAGCTATACAGGTTTGAGTCTGGTAGTAAAATGGACAGCTATGTCCTGTAGCTATACAGGTTTCAGTTTGGGAGTAAAATGGACAGCTATGTCCTGTAGCTATACCGGTTTGAGTCTGGTAGTAAAATGGACATCTATGTCCTGTAGCTATACAGGTTTGATACTGGGAGTAAAATGGACAGCTATGTCCTGTAGCTATACAGGTTTGAGTCAGGGAGTAAAATGGACAGCTATATGTCCTGTAGCTATACCGGTTTGAGTATGGGAGTAAAATGGACAGCTATGTCCTGTAGCTATACCGGTTTGAGTCTGGGAGTAAAATGGACAGCTATGTCTTGTAGCTATACAGGTTTGAGTCTGGTAGTAAAATGGACAGCTATTTCGTGTAGCTATACAGGTTTGAGCTATGTCTTGAAGCTATACAGGTTTGAGTCTGAGAGTAAAATGGACAGATATGTCTTGTAGCTATACAGGTTTGAGTCTGGGAGTAAAATAGACAGCGATGTCCTGTAGCTACACAGGTTTGAGCTATGTCTTGTAGTTATACAGGTTTGAGTCTGAGAGTAAAATAGACAGCGATGTCCTGTAGCTACACAGGTTTGAGTCTGGGAGTAAAATAGACAGCGATGTCCTGTAGCTACACAGGTTTGATCCATGTCTTGTAGTTATACAGGTTTGAGTCTGAGAGTAAAATGGACAGCTATGTCTTGTAGCTATACAGGTTTGAGTCTGGTAGTAAAATGGACAGCTATATCTTGTAGCTATACAGGTTTGAGTCTGGGAGTAAAATGGACAGCTTTGCAGGGTTGTAACTATACAGGTTTGAGTCTGGGAGTAAAATGGACAGCTTTGCAGAGTTGTAGCTAGGTTGAGTGGCAGCCTAGCCAACCTTACATGTACGGAACCACTGCCTACTGAGCCTGGTTGGTGGCCTCCAATCAGATATTCTGGTGTCCTGTCACAACTGAGCCGAGCCTTTACCATCCTAGACAGGTCTGTGGCAGGAATATCTACGATCACACTGCTATTCTTACAACTGACATTTTCTCTATCTTAATTCCCAAATTGGACACCGCAGGCAACAAAAACCTACTGTATCGATTGTAATGGTCCCGATGGACAATCAACGTTTCCAAACTTCACTATTCAAGGTCTTCGCTAGACTCTCCTACGTAAATTCTTTTTTTTTTCTTTTCAAACGGCAAACATTTCATGCCTTGAAAAAATCACAGCAAGACAATTCTACTAACAAGACAGTTTCTCCTGGAAATTGTTAGAAAAGAAAACAATTTCTAGCAATGAACTTGTTCAATAATTAAAGCTATTACACATACCGTAATATACTTGGATTTTCAAAAAGTGTGTTCACTTATATGTGAGGATTTTGAACTAAATGACTCATGATCACTACATCATCAGAACCGGTTAATGACTTTTTTTTGTCTAGCATTCTATTTGCTATTTTTATTGACGAGAAACCATTTTAAGTAAATGCTACTCACTTTGGAGAAACAAAGTTATTCAGACTATATTAGTGTAGCTTTAATGCCATTACATCTGAAGGAAATTGATTTCTGGCACCGCGACGTAAAAAAAATCATCCCTTACCTAAGATAATGGGATAATTGTTCGCAGCACACACTACCAATTAATCTAAATCTTTTCGAAAATATCATCAACGTCATACACAATAACAAACCCTGATTCTTGTACGTGGTTGTCGTTTAGGTCTCAATGGGTGGCACTGTGGTTTTCACATCAACGAAACCTGTTTGATATGCTGATGTAAATTGTGATGGGAGTACCCCAGGTTTTTCTACTTTCGTCTCTATAGGCTGTTTTTTACCGTTATTGTTTTAAGAAGTTTCGAGTATTACAATCCATATAAAAACTTCGTAGCGTTGCAGCTGCACGAGAAATGT